TCCAATGGGTCTGCCTTCATTTGACATTATAAAAGACCACGTGGGGCATAGGAAAGGTATTTGTGAGGAGACCTTTCTTAATGAAATGGTCATCTTAAGGTCCCTCTACACTCATTTTCCTGGAGAAAAACTTTTAATTTACATCACCATGCATGTTAACTGTTTTCCAGTCAGTCTGTTATCAAGCATGTGGCATGGGAAAGAGTGTCTGCATTTTTGAGGCTACCTGTATTCCCTGATCTTAGTAGATAGTAAGAGAGTGGAACCAATAATGGCTAAGGATTGAGTCAGAACTAAAAACTATATTCTTTCACTATCTGAACAGCTGAATTCCAGTTACATCAGCCAGTCTCTTTTCATTTTCAAAGATATAAACAGATCTTATACAGATGAATGTTAAAAGGATTCACTGAATTTGCTTGGAAGATAAAGGCAATGTACAAAATGATAGTAAGACACATTTAACAACATCCGAACACAGTGACTGCGTGTAGACTCAGGATTTCAACTCAACACTTTGGAAAACATTGCTACACATGAAGTTGAGGCTGACGCTTCAAATTCTAATAATACTACCCATGAGCAATGTGGCATTTATTTCATCTTCCTCGATACCTGTCCTTACTGGAAAATGAGGGTAAAAGCTCTACCTCCCAGAATCACTGTGAGAATCAAATAAGATATTTCAAATGTGTATTGAGACAAAGTATGGGTGTGAAAATATGTCATAAATTGTAAAGTGCTAAGCACATGGTAATTGTAAATACATTTGATTTTTTTATGTGTGCAAAAGGACACAAAATGAGATTAGAAGGACATTCTATGCCCTTAGCTAAAGCTGACCCATCCATTAATGTATCTGATTTTCAGTCTTCGGCCTATTCAAGGCCGCGCCGGCGTTTCTCACCTCTCTATGCCGCATTATTAACGTTTTTCTTTTCAAACTAACCATTTCCTTCAACATACAAACATGCTAGTGTTATCCCATCTTTAACCACACTTTTATTCCCATCTTTGACTCCACTCTTCTTTGCACAAGCTACCATCATTTCACAACTCCCTTTAAGGCAAATCTCAAAGCATAGTCCAGAGTGACTATGTCAAATTCGTCTCCTCACATTCTGTCTTATGTCACTTTTGACGGACTTGCTGTCTCTCCTCTCTATAAAAAAACATTCTCATCAAAGTCACTGAAGACCCCCATGTTGCTAAATCTAAAGATCAATTCTTTTTGTTCATGTTACTTGATCGAGCAGCAGCATTTGATACAATTGATTCAATTGATATTGGTATTTGGTATCCTTTTTTTTAAAACTCATCTTCCGGAATACCACGTTCTTGGATTTCTTGCCACCTGGCTGATCACCGCTTCTCAGTTTCCTTTTCGTAGTTTCTTCTCTTTTGCCAGATCTCTTAAGATGAACATTGCCTGGAGCCCAGTTTTTGAGCCTGTTCTCTTCAATATCTAGAGTCACTTGTAGTGAGCTCAACCTCACAGCTTGAAGTACTATCTGTACCACAATAACTCCCAAAGTTTCTCTCCTGAACTCTAAATGTGAATATCCAAACTTCTATTCAACATTTTCTCTTGGATATTGCGATAGGCAGAGTCTTAAGGTGGTCCCTCAAGATTCCTGGCCCCTGGTATACATGCCCTGAAAAATCCCTGGGACTGTAAACATGATGAATCTTCCTCCTGTGGTGATGTTATGTTACATGGCACAGTTAAATTTTAAAAGGCAGGGTGGGGGTGATAAAATTAAGAGAAATTGTAAAAGCAATCCCTTTTACAATTACATCAAAGGAATAAAATACCTAAGAATAAATTTAACCAACGAGGTGAAAACACCTACATACTGAAAACAATAAGACACTGATGAAAGCAGTTGAAGACAACACAAATAAATGATAAGGTATTCCATGCTCATGGATTGGAAGAATGAAGATTGTTAAAATGTACAAAGCAATCTACAGATTCAGTGAAATCCCTACCAAAATCCCAAAGGCATTCTTCACAGAAATAGAACAAATAATCCTAACATTTATATGGAACCACAAAATATCCCACATAGCCAAAGAAATCTTGAGAAAGAAGGACAAGCTAAGAGATCACCCTCCCTGGTGTCAAACTAATATTACAAACACAGGAATTAAAATAGTGTAGTATTGGCACAAAAACAGACAGATAGATCGATGGAACAGAATAGAAAGCCAAGGAATAAATCTCCATATATATGGTCAATTAATTTACAGCAAAGAAGGCAAGACAAGGGGAAAGACAGCCTCTTTAATAAAGATGGGAAAACTAGTCAGCTACATGCAAAAGAATGAAACTGGATCACTCTCTCACACTATACACAAAAATTAACTCAAAGACTTGAGTTTAATTAACTTAAAGACTTGAATATGATACCTGAAAACCACAAAACTCCTAGGAAAAAAGCCTACGCATCGACATTACTTTTGGAAATAATTTTTTGAACCTGACTCCAAAAGCAAAAATAAACATGAGACTACATCACCCTGAAAAGCTTTGCACAGTGAAGGAAACCACCTACAAAGTGAAAAGGCATCCTACTGAATGGGAGAAGATATTTGCAAACCACATATCTGATAGGGGATTAATAGCCAAAATACATATATATTACAGAACTCCTACAACTCTATAGCAAAAAAAAAATATTTTTTCAATTAAAATATGGGGAGAGGATTTGAATAGACATTTTTCCAAAGAAGATGTACAGATGAGCAACAGGCACACGAAAAAATGCTCAACATTACTAATCATCACTGATCAAGAAAACGCAAATCAAAACCACAATGAGACATTATTACCTTACACCTGTTAGAATGGCTATTATCAAAACAACTAGAAATGGTAACTATTGGCCAAAATGTGGAGAAAAGAGAACCTTCATTTACTGTTGGTGGAAATGCAAATTGGTGCAACCACTATGGAAAACAGTACAGAGTTTCCTCAAAAAATTAAAAATAGAATGATCATATGATCCAGCATTTCCACTTCTGGGTATTTACCTGAAAAAAAAAAAAAAAACACCAATTTGAAAAGACAGGTGCACCACTACGTTTATTGCATCATTATTTACGATAACCAAGATATGGAAACAACCTAAGTGTTCACTGATGGGTGAATGGATAAACAGCATGTGGTATATATGTACAATGGAATACTACGTGGCCATAAAAAAGAATGAAATCGTGTCATTTGCAATGACATGGATGGACATGGAGGGTATTATGCTGAGTGAAATTAGTAAGACAGGGTAAGACAAATACCGTATGATTTCACTTATATGCAGAATCTAAAAAAACAAAACAAAACAAAACAAAACAAGCACTCACAGATAACAGACAGCAGCCTAGTGGTTGCCAGAGGGGAGGAGAGTAAGGAGGTGGGTGAAATGGGTGAAGGGGAACAAGAGTTACAAACTCCCAGTTGTAAGATAAATAAATCACGGTGGGGGGGGAGGGCAGAGGGGGGTGGGGGGGTGGTATAATGTACAACATGCTGACTACAGTCAGTAACATTGTATTGCATATTTGAAAGTTGCTAAGAGAGTAGATCTTGAAAATCCTCATCCTAAATTAAAAAAAAAAAAAAACTAACCAGATTTACTGCCTTAATCATTATCGGTGTATACAAATATCAAATCATTATGTTGAATATCTTAAACTAATATGATATTATATGTTATATTAAATAAAATAATATTTCCAGAAAAAGGCAGAAATAATATAGGATGGTTAAGCATTTGCTGTTACCTATACTTTAATCTAATCATCTACTCTTTTTGAAACAGTTACTTATGTTTTCTAGTAACAGTTTGTTATACATAGCTCCTTTTCAGGTTGCTTGATACTTAAAGTTCAGGCAAATTGTGAATAATTTTTTTTTTAATTTTTTTTTTCAACGTTTATTTATTTTTGGGACAGAGAGAGACAGAGCATGAACGGGGAGGAGCAGAGAGAGAGGGAGACACAGAATCGGAAACAGGCTCCAGGCTCTGAGCCATCAGCCCAGAGCCCGACGCGGGGCTCGAACTCACGGAGCGCGAGATCGCGACCTGGCTGAAGTCGGACACTTAAGCGACTGCGCCACCCAGGCGCCCCTAATTTTTTTTTTTTTTTTTTAAGATGGGGGTGGGAGATATCCAGGTGGGCCTGACCTAATCACATGAGCCCTTTAAAAGCAGAGAGCTTAAAAATAAATAAATAAATAAATAAATAAAAGCAGAGAGCTTTACACAATACAGAAGTATATCAAAATGTCAAATCATTGACCTTAAATATTTAAAAATATTATGTTAACTATACTTCAATAAAATTGCAAGAGGCGAATGTGAAGCCCAGTAAGAAAATGTGAAAAGTAATAATAAATAAATAAATAAATAAATAAATAAAAGCAGAGAGCTTTAAAAAAAAAAAAAAAAAAAAAAAAACAAGCAGAGAGCTTTCTCCAGCTGGTCTCAGAAAAGGAAGTGAGAAAATTGAAGCATGAGAGGAATTCAACAGGAGGGAAATTTTTCTTTGCTGAGGGAGGAGAAGGCCATAGAGCAAAGACCTCAGGGTGGCCTCTAGTTGCTGAGAGCAGCTCCCACCTGACAGACAGCAGGAGAACGGGGACCTGAGTCCTAGCACCACAAGAAACCGAGTTCTGCCAACAACTTAAATGGGCCTAGACGTGGATTTTTCCCCCAGAGCTTTCAGACAAGAATTCAGCCTTCCCGACACCTTGATTGTGGCCTTATGAAACCCTGAACCGAGAATCCAGCCATGCACACCCTGACTTCTGACCTACAGAACTCTAAGTGGGTGTTATTTGAATCCACTCCACTTCTGGTAATTTGTTACACAGGGAAAGGGCAGGGCAAAAGAAAGAAAAAGAGGGAGAGGAAGAGAGAGAGGAGGGGAGGGAGGGAGGGAGAGGGAGAGAAACAGAGAGGAAGGAAGGAAGGGAGGGAGGGAGGGAGGGAGGGAGAGAGGGAGGAGTAACTAAGAAAATACAAATGTGTAACAGGCACCCGGAGCTCATCATTTCCGAAACTGACCTGTTGATCTTCCTTCAGAGGCTTCACCTCATTCTTCCCCATCTTCATTGATGGCACCTCCTTCCTTCAGTGGCTTGGGCCAAACACTTGTATTGATCCTTGACTCCTCTCTTTCTTTCACAAGCCACATCTAAATTGTCAGGAAATCGGGGCGCCTGGGTGGCTCAGTCGGTTAAGCGTCCGACTTCAGCCAGGTCACGATCTCGCGGTCCGTGAGTTCGAGCCCCGCGTCGGGCTCTGGGCTGATGGCTCAGAGCCTGGAGCCTGTTTCCGATTCTGTGTCTCCCTCTCTCTCTGCCCCTCCCCCGTTCATGCTCTGTCTCTCTCTGTCCCAAAAATAAATAAACGTTAAAAAAAAAACAAAAAAAAAACTTAAATTGTCAGGAAATCCTGTAGGCTCTGCTGTCAAAATCTATCCGGGTCACAATACTTGTTAGTACCTCCTCTGCTGCTTTTGTCCAAAACCCCACCATCGCCTCTCCCGCAGTGACGGCACCGGCCTTTTAGCCGGACTCTCCTGCTTCCCCCTTACCCAATGTCTGCTCTCAGCACAGTGGCCAGGGGAGTCTTTGTAAAACTAGAAGTCAGATCGTAGAACTCCACTGTTCACAATGCTGCCACGAGTCCTCGTTTTACTAAGAGCGAGTATGACAGCAAAGAGAGAAACAGGCTTCCCGTCCTGTGACCAGGATCCCGAAGAGGAAAAAACAAGGAAAGAGGTATTTGAACAGAAGTTCCAACAGAGTCTAATTTTACCTCCAGCCACACTTCTCTTTTCATTGGACAAATTTATAAACAAACTCGGTAAAGGAAAAGTTCCCGATTATCTCAACACCCTCGAATTTTCTGCGAACAGTAAAAGGGCTAGACAAGTCTCTGCTTTGAAAGCTCCCATTGGAAACTGTTGTGATTTAAAATAAAAAAAAAAAAAAAAAATGGAAATTGGAATTCGTTTCCAGCACCTCTGCTATTTCCCAGCCACAGGACCCTGGCAGGCCCTATGGCCCGTGAGGCTCAATTTCTCATCTGAAATGGAAGTTTGCGAGGCCTGCCCTGCCCCATTCACGGGGCCACTGTAACAATTAACTGAGATTCTCATGTTTGGGGAAAATGCTCTAACGAAAGAGCTCTGTGCATATGTATATCCTTATTTATCACAAAAGTGCTTAGCAGTTCCCTGGTGAATGAGTGGCTTCTCAGCACCTCATCATTCCTCCTGGAGCCAATGAACCTCCCTATAAAGTTACAAAGATTCCCAGACCTGCAGGTGACCCTTAGGCTTGGGTGCTGGTTGCTTACCCTGTGACCAAGTAATGAAGAGCACGTTATGGTTCGTAAATTTTCAGAGCTGTCTTTTTTCCTGCAGAATTTGAAACGAAGGCGGAAAGGGGGATTGGCGCTATTTGGTAAATACATCCATGCCTTCCTCTTACACAGCGATCCCAGCGTTCAGATGTCAGCTAGTATTACAACAAATTTCAACTTCTGCCTTTCTTCATTTCCACATCCCCAGCCTTGCTGAGGAAAAAGAAAATGACAGAACAACCCCAGGAAAGAGCAGAGCAATGGTCCCAAGGAGAAGTGGCATTGTAGGAATGTGCTGTAGGTGCCTGCGTGAGTAATTCTGGTAGCATGGTGCTCAGCCGTGAGAGGTTTCTGGCCCGTTGCACTTCCCGTGATATTGCCATCACATGTGGTGTGCCTTCCCAGTGTGATTCGGATATTATGACAGAGGCTACAGAAAAAAATACAGCCACTAGAAGAGAAGCCTGAAAACCAAGGAGGAAAAACCTTAGAAGAAAGAGCGATTATCATAGTCTCTAGAAGCCATAGTTTGGATTCCGATGGACCACACCACACCCACCACAGATGAACTCAAACCAGAGCAGATCTTCGTAAGTCGTTTTACAAGGCCTGCGTTCTTTCACACCTCTGAGCTGTGTCTACGGTAAGAGCTTCATGTAGCCTTGCCGTATGAGGTATCTTCTGTCTCTCTCCAAAGTCCATGTTCTACCTTCTGGGCGTTGATCTCTAACTGGGAGGCCAGCCTGTGTGAAATTCATCATCTGATGATGTCTAGTTGGGTCCAGCCAAAGGGGATCATTACCAGGAGAGCAGAAGGAAAAGGTGAGCGAGATCTCAGGTTGTATCATGCCCCCCAAACCTGCATTCTCACACCAGGGGCACCTTGGGCCGCTGTGTCCCCCAACCAAGGTCGCTGTTCATCTCAAAGCATTACTGCCCCTCCTCCTGGTACTCAGGTCTCCATGCCCTCCAGCGTGTCCCTTTGGGTCTAGGGATTGTGACAGCTCTGTTATTAATGGCCCTGAAAATACTTTCCGTACACCATCACCACTGCTTTATAAATTTATTCAACCCTCCTCAAGTTCTCCAATTTGCAGGTAGCATCTGTTTCTTGGTGAGCCCCTGCCTGATACAGTTGCCAATTGAACGAGCATGTCCTAAATATTTCTTTACCTCATTTGTCAGACACATGACATAAAAGAGCCCCTCGGTAGAAATTCTATCTAATTTTAGCACATCCTATATAAGAAGCGTCTTTATATTTTAATAACTATATCCTTCGAGGGGTGCCTGGGTGGATCAGTCAGTTAAGCGTCCGACTTCAGCTCCAGTTCTGATCTCACGGTTCATGGGTTTGAGCCCCGCGCGGGGCTCAGCCCCACATCAGGTTCTGTCTGGAGCCTGACAGCTCAGGATCTGATGCTTGCTTCGGATTCTGGGTCTCCCTCTCTCTCTGCCCATCTCCTGCTCGTGCTCTCTCTCTGTCTCTCAAAAATAAATAAACGTTAAAAAAAATTTAAGTAAAAAAAAAAGTATATCCTTCGAATCTCACCTTAAATGTCTCTTCTTCCAACCTGTATTCCCCAAACCACGATCTCTTTTGTAGCATCTTGCTTTTCTTTACTGTTGCCTAGCACAGTTTCTTGTTATATACGTTTGTTTGTTTTCGTGTTCAATGCCTATTGCCCACCAGATCTTAAACTTCATGAAGGCAGCAGCTATGCTCCTTGTCTTCAGCACTGTGTTCCTCACCAAGGCACCCTGGACCATGATTGATGTGCAATAAACATGTGCTGAGTAGGTGACTGAGTTAAAATAGTTAAGGGGGAGAAGAGCCATCTTCCTCATGCCAGACACATTTCAACCTCAACACCTATGTAGCTTGCCCCGGCCCCCCCCCCCCAATACGGGTCACGGTTATCATCCTCCTTGTTCCTTGCCTGCCCAAATACAAGCATTCCATAGCACCTTAAAGCCCTCATTGGTCTTCTTCCTCTCTCTACTCCTGTACGTGAGTGTTGCTTCCCTAAAATAGACTGTAAGCATCTAGAATATAGAATCTATGACTTAGATTTATTTTGTAGCCCCTATCAAGCACTTTAAATAGGAAAATCTATTGTATGGAAACCAATTTGACAATAAATTTCATATTAAAAAAAAAAAAGAAAAGAAAATCTAGGACTGAGTCCGCCCTAGGCCAAGGGTTTTCCACAATGGCACCAGAGCTATACGGCTGACAAAAGGGGCTCAAAATAACCTATCAGAAATATTTTACGTAACTGTGGGATGGATAGAGAAGGTCTAAGACTCAGACCTCATTTCAATTACGAGGCCTCTGTAGCGCATAATCAAATATCTTTCAGGCCCTGACTCCCATTCTGCATCATTCAGCCACAAAATTCTTTGCGGAAACAGAAACATCCCTCATCAAAAAATGTTTATATCCCAACACAGAAAAAAAAAAAAAACACATTAAAAACTCCTTAGCACTATTTTATTTTTTTCTTTCTTTTTTTTTTTTAATTTTTTTTTCAACGTTTATTTATTTTTGGGACAGAGAGAGACAGAGCATGAACAGGGGAGGGGCAGAGAGAGAGAGGGAGACACAGAATCGGAAACAGGCTCCAGGCTCTGAGCCATCAGCCCAGAGCCCGACGCAGGGCTCGAACTCACGGACCGCGAGATCGTGACCTGGCTGAAGTCGGACGCTTAACCGACTGCGCCACCCAGGCTCCCCTCCTTAGCACTATTTTAAACCTACTCCAGCATGCCAGAATTTTTGCTGTACGTGCATCTGCCACCACTGGACTTCTACTGCCAAGGGGATCATTTCTTTGTCTATATTCTCCAGTGAGGAACTTATAGATGCAGTTTTCAGATCAATCCAGTCTCTGGTAAAACAGAGAGGAAAGACAGCACAAAACCCTGACAGCATTACCTGCCAGGCAACAACTTTTGATTCAGCGTAATTTAAATCATGTGTCTAATTACCTAGTTATTTCAATAAAGCTGTGTTTTGTATTGACTTTTGGGAAAGCCTCCTTCGTTTGTTATTTTCTCCTACCCTTATGGGAAAAAAAAATTTAAGAAACCAATAAATTTTTGCAATAGCCAAGCTGATTTCAGAGCTCATGACAATTGTATGAGCTAAAGTGCCTGCCTTTAATGAGGATACACCCTCTTAAAATAGAAACTTGAAACTTTCAGAAGGATGTATTGAGAAGTTTATTATATTCCTTTGTGTTTTATCTTCTTCCTGGTTCTTACAAACGGGCCCTTTTGGAAGAGAAATGGATTCTGCTTAATCTGCCTTAGATCTGATCTGGCTTCTTTGAGAAAACTGTAGATGAGACTGACCAGACTTAGCCACACTTTGGGTTCATCTGGCCCAATCTGCAACATCTACAAAAAGCATTTAACTTAACTTCTTGCATCCTATCAAAGTTAGACGCTGTTGAAATAGCCCTTGAATTATTTCTTACCCCAAATCATACAGTATAAGGCAAAGGCTCCAAACCCAGAAAGTACCGTTGCCCAGACTGAGAAAAGTGAATTCTAAAAGCCCCTTTTGTTTTCCAACAAGGTTAAAATCACAAGTTCAACATGCGATAATGCATAGAAGATTGATACACCGTGTGTATAAACATGGTGACAGAGAATACCAAGAGCCGTCCATCCCATCATGACGCAGTTCAAAATTTGACATGTTTGAACTCTCAACACACTTGGCGAACTTCCGGTAAGCTCTACCAATCATAATTAACCACTAATGAAATTTTACTAGGAAAAAAATTACAAGCCATATTCAAAATCTCTTTATGTCTGAGGGAGCAAATTCCGTGAGAATGATTGCCTTCCTATATAAGAGACTGCCACAGAAAGGCTCAGAAACAAATCCGTCCCCAACAGCTAATAATTCACCTATTATCAAACCCTCTAGAATCATAATACCTCAGTCCCAACTGAGGGGCTGCAAATATGTGACAAAACAATTGATGAATGGCAGTGACCAACTGAATTGGTAATGTGCCTTGGGATTTAGGAACTCCACCCACCCTATGTGTGAGAAGAATTTATGAAGATAACATGACATGCTAATATATTTTTACAGCTTAAACAAGATATTCCATGCCATTTTTGAGCACCACACATAGTTTATCAATATAACTCTTAAGACCTTTATCCCCTTTTGTTTCTTTGCCGCTGCACATAATATAATTATCAAAAAGGTTAAGACTTACGAGTGGAAGCATTTGAACCCTAGACAGAAGCTCTTTTTTTTCCTTCTTTCTCCATTTCTGTTGTGCTCATTGGTTCATTTTGACTTTGGTTGTTTTTGTTACAATTGTCTGACTACAATCTTCAGCCATGACAGAAACATAACAAAAAAT